CTTGAATCATTTTGTCCCTTACTACGCCCTTCCTTGTCTAGAGACGCCTAGGTATCCACTGTAAGTCTTTCTTCGTTTGAACCTCATTTGTATTTTTCATGAGGGTGTATGTGGTAAACAAATTCTTAGCGTTAACTGTTTAGTTAAAAAAATTGGAAAGCAAAAACAACACACTTTGTTTCTAACTCGAAACATTGGGGGTTAATATTAAGGAGCCAAAACCGTTGCTTCATGATGAAGTTTTTGATGATTTAATCCAACTTTTAAAATTTATGCTCTATTGAAAATATATATGTATATATCATCCTAATGCTTTTTAGGAAAAATTAGTATCCGGTCTTTAATTTCTAATGTTCATTGATTAAGACCTTATTAGTTTTTAGATTTTGATCAAAGTCCCTATCATTAATATATTAATGAATTATATGTAAGTTACATATTTTTTATAATAAAAATTAGTAATTGATTTAGAGTTTTAATATTCACACCCTTATTAAACTCCTAATTAATTTTCAATTCTGTAAGATCCCACATCACCCAGGGGTGTGATCCTTAAATGTATATTCCCATCCTTACCTAGCACGAGGCCTTTTGGGAGCTCACTGGCTTCGGGTTCCGTAGGAACTCCGAAGTTAAGCGAGAAGAGGGCTAGAGCAATCCCATGATGGGTGACCCACTGGGAAGTTGCTCGTGAGTTCCCAAAAACAAAACCGTGAGGGAATGGTAAGCCCAAAGCGGACAATATCGTGCTACGGTGGTGGAGTGGGGCGGGAAGTGATCCGCCCGGGCCTGGATGTGACATTTGGTATTAGAGCCTAACCCTGGTCGTGGTGTGCCGACGAGGACGTCGGGCCCTTAAGGGGGGTGGATTGTAAGATCCCACATCACCCAGAGGTGTGATCCTTAAATGTATATTCCCATCCTTACCTAGCACGAGGCCTTTTGGGAGCTCATTGGCTTCGGGTTCCGTAGGAACTCCGAAGTTAAGCGAGAAGAGGGCTAGAGCAATCCCATGATGGTTGACCCACTGGGAAGTTGCTCGTGAGTTCCCAAAAACAAAACCGTGAGGGAATGGTAAGCCCAAAGCGGACAATATCGTGCTACGGTGGTAGAGTGGGCCGGGGAAGTGATCCGTCCCGGGCCGGGACGTGACAATTCAAACATTTTCAAAATAAAAAAAAATAAAATTAGAATAAGTTGGTACCCATTAAATTTTTATTAAAAAAAATTGATATGTACCCATTCTTAATATACCAATTTGTTACATGAAAAATATACCTTTTTTTTTTATATATAAAATTCATTCAATTTTTTTCTCTATTCCATTTTAAACTTATATAAGTACATCCGATTCCGTTGATTTGAGAATGTATCTATGTCAAGTTTGATAGAAAAAATTTTAAAATGTTATTAAGCCTAATATATATATTTTTTTGCATTTTTGAAAAATGTACCCATGTTTTGATAAAATAATTTTTTTGTTAGCTTTTTATGAACGGACCCATGTATATGTATACACACACACTCACAAAATATATTGGTGAGTATAATTTATCTTCAATATTTTTAATCCCATAAATTATCGGCTTTATTTTAGATCTCATTAACTCATTTTTAAGTTAAAAATATAATAACCTACATAGAAATATATTATTACAATGTAGAAACTTCATTAGAAAACTAAACAGAACAAATATTTCAATAAAAGAACATTATTAATTAGAAACTGAATTCAAAATGTCTCTTTTCGTGCCCCCCATTTTTTAAGTTCTCGAACCATCACCCAGCTCGCCCTAGGCGAGGGGCCCTGACCTCTACCTTACCATTATTATTTGTCTAGAAGACCCATATTCTTATGTCCAAATTTTCAACAGTAACAACCCTGCCTAACCATTCAAATTTTTTCATGGGATTTTTTGATATGGGTCGAAAGTAACTAAAAATTGAACTTATTTCAAAAGTTAAAAATTATTAAAAATTAGACATATTTTAAAAAGTAATCTATAAAATTTGACATATTTCAAAATTTTCCTTTTTTTCATTAATCAATGACGTGCCGAAAAGGTCAGCGTTCCGATCAAGCTTTGCTCAGGAGCTGCACCACTCAGCGGGCAGACTTTTGGAGCTCAGGCAGACAGTAAGGAAAGAAAAGAAAACGCGGTTTTGTGACATTTTGGGCTGCCCGAGATAAGTGTTACTACTTACTACATTCATAGCGTCTCTCTCTTGTTTATTTATTTTTAGGAATATGTTATTGATATTTCAAAAATCTTATTCTACATTCCTCACAAGTGTATTTTTTTTTTCAAAATATAGAAAGTTTGAAATGTATAATAAGATTTTTGAAATGCCAATAACAATTTTCTATTTTTATTGTAATTGTAAAATATGAAATTATTTATTTATATATAGTCTCAATAATGCAAAATCTCGCTTGCTAGGTTAGGTGATTCGTAATTATTCTTTTTCCTTTTCACTATAAGCACATGAGATCAATAATTGCTTCTTAATTTTATTGGTATGTTTACTTGAACGAGAAAATCATAAGAGAAAGTCATGAATCAAGAAAGGAAAAAAATGAATGTGAATGAATAAATTAGTGCCTAGATGATCTTGATTTTTAAGATACTGAATTATTGATTTTTAGACAACTTGACACAAAAAATAACACGAAACAAACAAATTTGGGTTGGCCATAATCATGTCAACTATCACATCTCGGTCCGGGGTCCACCACATCCCGAGTCCGCTTCACCACCGTAGCACAATATTGTCCGCTTTGGGCCCCGACCACGCCCTTATGGTTTTGTTTCTGGGAACTCACATGAGAACTTCCCAGTAGATCACCCATCATGGAAGTGCTCTCGCGCACTACTCGCTTAACTTCGAAGTTCTGATGAACTTCGAAGCCAGTGAGCTCCCAAAAGGCCTCGTGCTAGGTAGGGATGAGAATATACATATAAGGATTACTCCCATGGCGATGTGGGATCTTACAATCCACCCCCTCTTAGGGGCCCGACGTCCTCGTCGGCATACCACGGCCAATGTTAGACTCTGATACCAAATTGTCACATCCTGGGCCCGCTCCACCACCGTAGCACAATATTGTCCGCTTTGGGCAAATTGTCACATCCCGTAGGAACTCCGAAGTTAAGCGAGAAGGGGGCTAGAGCAATCCCATAATGGGTGACCAACTGGGAAGTTGCTCGTGAGTTCCCAAAAACAAAACCGCGAGGGAATGGTAAGCCCCAAGCAGACAATATTGTGCTACGGTGGTGGAGCGGGCCCGGGAAGTGATCCGTCCCGGGTCGGGATGTGACGTCAACCCACACCAAATTAATTGCTTATGTATTCATCTTTCATTGTAAGTGAGAGGTCTTAGGTTCGATTTTTGCCAAATACGAATTTGAACCACATTATTGCTAGCGCATTGTAAGGAAGCACACTCCCTTAGTGTAAATATTATCATTTATTAAATAAAAAAATCACGTAATTCGAAAATTACATGTTTTTACATGTTTTCTACAACGCTTTAACAACCCTATATGACCTCTATAACCAATATACGTGAGAAATCTTAGATTTAATTCTCGCCAAATGCGAATTTAAACCACATTATTACTAGCTCATTGTGTGACTAAGCTCATTCCTTTCCTTAGTGTAGATATTATCGTTTGTTAGAAAAAAAAAAGGTAAAATAACAAGTTTAATCCTTTTATTTGAGAAAATTATTCCTTACTCTGTAGCATTAAATAATACGTAATAAACTACTTAGCATTAAATAATATGTAATAAACTGCGTAGCATTAACCAATTCGTAACATAGATTGGTACAATTGTCTGAATTCTATTCAACGGTTGAAGATAAAAGACAACTTGAAAAAAATGAAAAACCGGATGACGGCAAATAAACTAGGGAGCACTTGGTTTGTTTGTTTTTTTTATTTTTTTTTTTAAGGCTGGCCCACCTCCATCTACATATACCTGCAATTTTTTCGCTGGTCTGTGAGGTTTTGATTCAGGCTAGGGGAGACGGCGGAGGCAGCGGCGTAATTTGGGTTGACGGCTACGAACGAACATGGATGTGGGAGTTGAAGGAGGAGGCTTAGGCTAAAGAAATAATCTATTACAAAATTAATTTATCTAAATTACCTATTAATAGATTCTTTAAGAACTCTTTTTTTAATTAAAATTTCAAAATTTAGTGCTGATTTAGGTATTTTACAAAAATGAGAGTCTTTAGGGTGTACATTGACAGGAAAGAGGATCCTTACGTATAAATATTATTGCTGTGTTTTTATTTTGTTTTATTTTTTTTATATATTAATGCCAAACTTTAGATAGGGTGTAAATTGAAAGGAAAGAAAATTCAAGTATTAATAAACTTTAGGTAGGGTGTAAATATTAATGAACTTTAGACAGGGTGTAAATTGACACGAAAGAGGATTTAAATATTAAAAATCTTTAGGTAGGGTACAAAAGGAGGATTTAAATATTATTGTTGCCTTTTTTGACTATTAGTACTGACCTGGTGTAAATTGATGAGGGTGTTCATATTATTGCCATATTTTTTGGAAAGAACTTGGGTGCTGAAAAAATTAGCAGGAGTTCCTACTCCTCATCAATTATAAATAGACACGTATTTAATTTGTGATTAAAAAGTTAATAATTTGGACACGTGTTTATCTGTAATTGGTAAGGAGTAGGAACTGTTATTGATTTTTCAGCAAACGAGTTCCATTCTATTTTTTTACTACTAGATGTTTAGGATGTAAATTGACTGGAAAGAGGATTTTTGTCTTATGAGGATTGAGGCATGGCTGTTATACAAGTTGGTGAACAAATAAGTGAGGGATGACTCACCTATACCCTACCATTATTATTTGTCTAGCCGACCCATATTCTTATGTCCAAATTTGGCCATAGGAAAATACCATACCAATCCTATATTTCTCAGTTCAAATCTCTTAGTTTTCTTTGTTTCCGCTACTAACCGAAAGATGGCCGAGGCACTCATTTCCGTGCTTCTCGAACAACTGGCTTCGATAACTTACCAGCATGTCGAGGAAGAGGTGAGCCTGGTTTTGAATGCGGAGGAAGATGTTGCAAAATTCGTTGGCAACCTTGAAGTGATTCGTGCTGTGCTTGAGGATGCGGAGCAGAGGCAGGTGAAGGAGGCTAGCGTGAGAAATTGGCTGGAGAAGCTGACAGACGTGTCGTACAAGATGGACAATGTGTTGGATGAGTGGAACACTGAAATACTGAAACAACAAGTTGAGAAACAAGAAGAGCACGGTGGAAGTACTTCTCCTGTTACTAAGAAGAAGATGAAGACAATATGTTTCTCTATTCCCTCATCTTGCTTTTGTTTTCGTCAAGTCGGACGGGTAATTCGTGGTCGTGAGATTGCTCTTAAGGTCAAACGTCTGAATGAAAATTTAGATGAGATTGCTGAGCAAAGACAGAGATATAACTTTCAATCCATGGAGAGAACGACCATTGAACAACCCGAGCGAGAGAAAACTTCTTCTTTTGTTGATGCATCTGTGATATTTGGTAGAGAACAAGAAAAAGAAGATTTGGTCAGCAAGTTGTTGAATGAGAGTAGTCAAGAAGAGAGGGGCCTCCTTGTCATCCCTATTGTCGGGATGGGAGGAATGGGGAAGACAACTCTGGCCCAACATGCTTTTAACGATGAAAATGTTAAAGCCTATTTTGATATCAAAATTTGGGTTTGTGTTTCGGACCCTTTTGATGAGATCAAAACTGCCAAAGCCATCACTGAGGGTGTCGAAAAAGATACCAGCCCAAATTCAAATGAATTGGAAACTGTCTTGCAATGTATGTCTAAATCGATTGAGGGAAAGAAGTTTCTCCTTGTCCTAGATGATGTGTGGACTGAAGACCAGAGAAAATGGGAGAAGTTGAAGTTGCCATTAAACCAAAGTGGCGCCCATGGCAGTAGAATATTGGTGACCACTCGAAAACAGGATGTTGTTCATATGATAGGAGCTCTCACACAACAGATCGATTTGGAGAGGTTGAGCGAACCAGATTGTTTGTCAATATTCAACCGCATGGCATTTTTTAGTAGAGATAAGGATAGTGAGTTGGAAGCCATTGGTAAAGAAATTGCAAAAAAGTGCAAGGGTTTGCCTCTTGCTGCAAAGACTCTGGGCAGTCTCATGCGTTACAAGAAAACGAAGAAAGAATGGCAGGAAGTTTTGGCCAGTAATATATGGGAGCTAGAAAAGTTTGAGCAACAGGTTTTCCAACCATTATTACTGAGTTATCTTGATTTGGCACCTGCGGTCAAACGATGCCTTTTATATTGTGTTATTTTTCCAAAAGATCATTTGATCGATAAAGATTATTTGATTGAGTTGTGGATGTCACAAAATTATCTCTATTCGAAAGAAAAAATAGAGAAGAAAATAATTGGCCAAAGGTGTTTTGATAATTTAGTAATGCGATCTTTCTTCCAAGACTTTGAAAAAGGCAGTGATGGAGGTATCTGGGGGTGTAAAATGCATGATATTGTGCACGACTTTCTGCAGTATCTTACTCAAAATGAATGCTTTACAATGGAGGTTAAGGGTGGTAACGATACGATAAATCCCTTGGGTGATAAGATCCGCCATTTGACCCTATTGCTTGCTCCTGAGGGTCCATTTCCACGTGTTTCATTTTCTAGCTGCAAAACTGATTTGCGTACTCTTGCAACTTTTGGTTCAAAATTCACCGTTGTGGACTCAACTTTGATGTCACAATTGAAACATCTTAGGACATTGAATTTGAGTGGTAATTCTATTGAAGAGCTTCCGGAAGAGATAGGTGAATTGGTGCATCTAAGGTTCATTGATTTGTCTGAAAATTATGATTTGAAAAAGCTACCAAGTGGGGTGTGTAATTTATACAATTTGCAGACACTGCACCTTGAAAAATGTAGGAAACTTGAAAGTCTACCTCAGAGCATGGGAAAGTTGATTAACTTAAAGCATCTTTATGTTTGGGGTTGCTTTCGCCTGAAGTACTTGCCGAAAAGGATTGGGAGATTAACAAATCTAAGAAGACTAGATGGGTGCCCTGTTGGCGATGGTAAAGACGACGATGAAGCGTTCAAATTGGGAGATTTGAGAAACTTAGACCAACTTCAGGGTCTACTCTACATAAAGATTGATGGGGATGTGGAAGTTGCTGCGGGTGAGGGTGAGAAAGCATCTCCCTTGTGGAACAAACAACAACTCTTACATTTGGGTGTAATTTTTTTTAATTGTGGAACAAGTGTAGAAATATTGAATTTCTTACGACCGCATCCAAATTTGGAATCTTTAGAGATTATAAGGCATAATGGAAGCACTGCCCCCAACTGGATCATGTCATTAAACAATTTGAGATTTCTTTGCCTTGAGGAATGGAATGAATGTGAAGTTTTACCTCCTTTGGGAAAATTGCCGTCCCTCGAAACACTAACCCTTTTGCGTAATAATGGAGTGAAAAAGGTTGGAGTTGAGTTTCTGGGAATAGAAAAGGAAACGTCATTAGCATCATCATGCATTACATTCCCAAAATTGAAAACACTCACATTTGGGTACATGGAGGCGTGGGAAGAGTGGACTGGAGTGGAAGAGTGGAAGGAAGAGGATTCTCATATTAACATAATGCCATGCCTTTCTTCTTTGAAGATTTTTCAGTGCCCTCAGCTAAAAACACTGCCAGACTTCTTGCGGAAAACACCACTTCAGACACTTTTCATCAAGCACTGTGGTGATCTTGCACAAGGTTGGCAAAAAAGCAGAGGAAAGGAGTGGCCCAAGATTTCTCACATCCCCAACATCGAAATCATAGGCAGAGTCGAAGCAAATGATGCTGTTTAGTTGCACGAGAGGCCTTCCACTTCGGGTAATTAAGCTCTTTTCTATTTATTTACCAACTCACTCTATTCATTTTACATCAATACGCTAATATCAGGGTTGAGGTTTTATTATACTTACCAAATGACAAGATCCCATGTTCCAACTAGACAAGTTATTATATATAAGGTTGCAATGGACTTGTAACTCGGTTTAAGACCATATTCCAAGTCCCCAGTTCAATTTTCCCAATTTGCAATACTCTAGTTTTATTTTATTTTTAAAATATCCAGAAACTATATGCAAGAAAGTAACAATTTATAATGTTGCAAGGGTAAAAAGACCATATTCCAAGTCCCCAAGTCGATTCCTCCTCTCCCAATATCATGATTTGCAATGCTCTAGTTTTATTTGATTTTTAAAATCTCTGGATTTGAGACTATAAGCAACTTTAAACCGGAAATTATATGCAAGAAAGTAACAGTTTATGGTCACAAAATTTTGCAGACCTCCAGTTGTGTGATTTAGCTACTAGCAGTTAGAGGGTGTACAAACAATGTTGCCTGACTCTGCCTGACTGTTGCAGACCTCCTGTTGTGTGATTTAGCTACACGCAGGAGAGGAAGTGAGATGGAAAGGGAGACAAAGCTGCATGCATTACTAGAACCGGTGGTTAGCTGCTGCATTACAGATTTCATCATAATCGTCTTTTCCTTTGCTTTCGGGCAGAATGAAGATCGTCTAGACTCTAGACATAGGCACATTAATTGTGTGTGTGTGTGTGTGTGTGTGAGTGTAGTATATTGCAAAGAGCTCCAGACTTGTTTGAGTTCTCCAATATATTTCTCAGAAAAATGCTGTCGTACGACACAACTAAGATATTTGAATATAAACTGTATTATGAAATAGTGGTACACTAATTAGCACTAAATTTGCTTCAATTTCAATGTCATCAAATTTGCATAAACCCGGGGGAAGGAAATAATTCAAATAGCATTGAGATAACCTTTTGCATGTTTGAACATGTGAAGAATGTTATGAGTTCTAGCATCCCAAACTTGAACCACGCCATCTTCTGATCCAGAAATCAAATAATTTCCAGAAATGCCATATGCTAAGCAACAGCTTTGCAGTTCAGAAGGTATAAAATTGTCAGTTAAAAGAGTTTTACACATTCGAAATATACTAAAATGAATATTCCTCAATTTAGTTCACCAGAATGCAAGCATGTCTGGCATAACTAAATGAAGAATGCAAGGTTCTTAAAACGTGCAACAATGTTTGGCAGTTATACTTTGAAATACAAAAATACAGAGTTAAAAATTAGAGAAGTCTTAACTGAAGAAAACTCATCTGAATACCAAATAAAACTGCAAACTGGAATATCAGTAAGTTCATCAAAAGGGTCCTATAGGAAAAGAGAGAAACCTGTGATTCGAGAAACAATCGATGATATGGAACCCATACTTGCTGTTAAGTGGGCTCTAGCATTAAGTGCAGCAACGTATATCTTGACATCTCTACCACCGGCAAAGAAGACATTTTCACCAGGATCCAGTGCAACCGCATCAATCATAGTAGGAAAGCAATATTTCTCAACAATCTCCCACTTCCTACGCTCCAAACCTAAGAAATGTACATCCAAGTCAAACTATAATACACGTGCAATTTCAAGAATGCATTTCTTTTTTGTTTATTGGGGATGAATAAGAATGCATTAGTACATAACATGCAAAAGACATGTAATAGATATTGAGGGACTTACAAGGAATACATGCTACGAAAAACCGAGAAGATAAATCTGAGCATTTAAGAGAGTAAAAGATCAACAAGTCAAGACAAACAATCCACGCGTGGATGGTAGATTCATGCATTGTTTTCTCCTATGGTACCTGGAGCCCATTTTAATTAACCTTGTCATCATTGTTCAGTACATGATTCGTCCGTTAAATAACATTATTATTATACCAAATATTGTTTATACTTCACTAAAGACCACGACATACCTTACACGATAATGGCCTTGCATCCACCATATCCTACGACAACAACTGTTAAACAGAGTGTGCATCCACCATATCCTTACACGTGCGATCCTGAGATGCTGACACGATAATGGCTTTGCATCCACCATATCCTACGACAACAACTGTTAAATAGAGTGTGCTCCGTAAAGTTATGCATGCACAGGTTGCTTTCCTGTTGACTTCGATTATCATCAAATAATCTGTGAGATTCAACAGACAGAGATATGTTTTCAGATAATTAAAAACAATATATAGATACAAAAATATAAGATAAGAAATGGTTACCCGAGACCAAATTCTAATGCCTCCATCTTCCGACCCCGAAATCAGCAGGGAGCCATCATCCGAGAATACCAAGCAACTAACACCTCTGTAGTGACTAGTGAGCATGCCATTTCTTAAGCAGTCTACCAGCATTAACCTAAATAAGTACCCAAAAAAAAATTAATAAGTTCATTAGCATTTCAGAGCTCAAAAAACTCCCAAAATTCAATAAAATTGCAAAAATTCCCCAAATTCAATGAAAATGGAAGCTTTTTATCAATTAAGGCAATTCATCAAACAGGTTGTGTGCATAAGAAAAGAGGTGATCTTACATTGGACTAGGACCGGTACTGGACAGAGCCAGAGAAGGCAGAAGGCTCGCGGAGCTAAGAGGAAACGATGAACCGTTTGCCAACGCAGATGAGGCCGTGAGGCGGAGAGGCGCAGATTTTGCAGCGGATTTGCTTGGCGCCTGTGCTGAGGTCCCAGCAGCCGATGAGGTTTCTTGCAAGGGTTTTTATTGAGCGTCTTGGAATCTCAGACAGAGTAACGGATACCTTGGTAGACTAACCCACCACATATTATTGAATTCATAATATATATTTACTACATTCCACATTTACTTAATTAAAATTTATTTTAATATATCCCGCATACTTTCTCATAAAATTTATCTACATACCCTACAGTAGTTGTTGAATTTGTAATATTTTATAGTAACAATGCATATTGTTACTTGTATTTGATAATTTAGAGAATACATCTTCAACAACTTGTAATATTTTATAGTAACAATGCATATTGTTACTTGTATTTGATAATTTAGAGAATACATCTTACACCCGAAGTCATAAGTTCAAATCACCTTTTTTCCAATATTGCGATCATTTATGTTAGTCTCTTAAGATAAAGCTTATTAATTATATTTTCCTTCTAAAAGCTGAGGGAATACATTTAATGGCTTATTTTTGGTCAATAGTGTACTTAAAGTGTGTAAGAAAGAATTTATGTAATTTACTTTTTAGTCCGACTGTCTAAAACAAACTTCTCTATTGTTCTTTAATTTCGACTTTATTTGTTCAAACTCACTGCAGAATTAGCAACTTGTTTACAGTTGTTGTAACATTTAATGGGGTTGGAGAATTTTTCACTGAAGGGAAACCTAACAGTTGGAATCACCACCATGGAGGATGAGAGGAATTTTGAATGTTGAAGAAGATAAATAATCTTGGATTATTTGGGATGTATTCAACATAGAGTAAACTACCGATTTGCTCCTTGAACTATCATCCAACTTTCGATTTCCTCCCTGAACTTTTTAATTGAAAAATTAAGGACTTAAACTTATTTTTTTGGCCGATTTCCCTTCTACCGTTAGTTTTTCATATATTTCATCCAAATTACTTTTATCATGTGCAAACCAAGAAACTCTCATTTGTGGACAAAAGCGTCACTTCATTAGACATTCAGACACAAAAGCTATATAATCACACATATTTACATAGGTTTATATTTTAAAAATCTAGGGTTTTCAATTATTTTAAAGAATGAAGCGATCGAACTACCCACAACTGTTGTGCACATACTTCCATTTAACATAAATTTGGTTGGAATGAATGAAAAATTAACAGCAGGGGGCAAATCGGCCAAAAAAATTAATTTAAGTCCTTAATTTTCCAATTAAAAAGTTTAGGGGGGAATCGAAAGTTGGGTGATAGTTCAAGGGGTAAATCGGCGGTTTACTCTTTAACATTAAGTGGGGTGCTAATAAAAAAAATAAAAAAAAACTAACGAAAAGTTCAAAAAAACTTTATTTTTAATGAAAAATGACAAATAAAGGGGTAGTAAATAGTACCAGGGAAAGGTAAAAATGTGATTTTTCATTACAAGTAAACAGTACCGAGAGTGTTTTATTAAAATTTCCTTAAAAAAAAAAAAAAAAGCCATAAAACGTTGATGGTACTGCTCTCTGAAAATTTTGATAGGGTTTTTAAATGGCGTGTGGTCAGACACAAAAGGCCGGGAAGGTCCTCAAAACGATGCCGTTGGTGATTGTTCGAAAATTTCTAATTGTTGTACCGATTGTGGATTAATTTTGTATATTTTTTTCATTGTTCAAATTTTCATATATGATATTAACAAAAATAAAAAAAGGATTTTAATTGTCATCCTTGTTGTAAACTTTCATAGTTTAAGTGTGATTATGTAAATCCTAGATTTGATTTGATTCTAGTTATCATTTCCTATTAAAACTTGTATTCCTTGGGGATGAAAAAATATATTATCTCATTTTACTACTATAAATAAAGGCACTATGTAGGAGAGATAACACACACATTCCCCAACAATTCTACACACACATCTCTCTCACTCTCTCATCTCCCTCACTCTCTCATCTCCTTGCTACCGGTCCCCTTAATCTTGTCAGATAAAACAGGCTACAATAGTCTTGAGGTTTTTCACTTTTAATTCAACCAGGTAACTTTGACTTGTGGACTCCCTCTTCTCTCTGAAACTTATGAGTCGCATCCTGAAACATAAGTGGGACCTAATACCTAATAAGACTATACCACATGTAAAATAAATGTGATCATAAATCTTCATTATGTATTAACGTTAAAAAAAATAAGAGAATCTAAGTTAAAAATAAATTAAAGAGATGGAAAAGAAAATTTTATTAGCCTGATGCATCCAAATCAAACATAAGGAAAAAAAAAAACAAATCTAAGACAATGTGGAGTTAATTTTGTGTTTAATAGAAATGACTTTCAAGTTTTAGAGGACAAAATGGGATCAAAATCGAGTTCCAGGGGTAAATTGGAGCGAACTTTGAGTTTTAAGGAGTAAAGTGACGACTTTTGAGTTACAATAAGCAAAATGAGATTAAAATTAAGTTTCATATGACGTAGCTAAAAATAAGCCTTGATTATATTCCTTATATCTTCTTTCCCAATTCACGACGTTTTTCATTCTAGTTAACTAAATTTGATTATATTCCTTATATCTTCTTTCCCGATTCATGATGTTTTCCATTCCCGTTAACTAAACGTGGTATAATAAAACTCGAACCCAAGTTTTAAGTTTTTTAACCCCTCCCCCACCCACCATCCAAAAAAAAATGAAAAAATCAAGACAACCTAAGCGGCCCCTGAACTCAAACCCCATCCCCACCAAAAACAAAAAAAAAAAAACAAAAAACAAAACAAAACAAAACCCCCCACCCACCCCAACCCTCTTGAATTCAGAATAATACTTGGTTGCTCAATAAGTATGAATTTTAACTCAAAATTGTTCATTGCCGATTCATTGAATTTTATGTTTATGATATAAACCGTTCATCGTATAAACCACCAAATAAAGATAGACACTACAAAAAATCAATTAAAACTAAGGTCATTTAGTCATGGAACTGTATAAAGATGATAGAATTAGTAAAAGTATTACGAACCATCTATGTATTTGCTATAATAGATTGACTAAACGACTTTAATTTTAATTGATTTTTTGTAGAGACGATCTTTACAGAGTGATTTATAATATGAACCGTTCTGAGCATAAATACAAAACTTTGTGATTCGAACACGAAAATTTTTGAATAGAAATTCATATTCATCCTTAAGTAGCTAAAGCATTGTTCTTGAATCCTCCTTCCCAACACCTAGCAATTTATTTCAATCTCTTTATTGGGAAACTGCCCTCTGTGACCATTCCTCTCTATGAACCCAATACTTAATTCATTGGGCTTAGTGTTAGGCTCAATTCCATTTAAAGGCTCTAAGACTTTAAGGTTTGGTAATGCATAACTTCCAACAAGAAGTAGGTACTAATTTTTCTTTACAACTGCCAACTCCAACTGCTCGCTTTATCACTCATTTACTTGATTGCATCCGACACATTTTGCAAATGCGAAAAATACTATTTGAACCAACTATAAAATCAGACGCATATTACCTTGCTGATCACCAACAGAAATACATTACGTACCTACATATATAGCAGAATGACGAGAGTGCCAGCAATATACATTACTCTCGCATTTAGCCTCTTTCTCTATGGCACCGAGTGCAACATCTCATTCTCCACAAATGGAGCTACAAGCAACTCATACAACAAGTTCATAAAAGCACTGCGAGCCCAACTCACAAATGGAGCGACCACAAGCATCTTTATGTCGGGGATTGTGCTGAGCTGAAGTACTTGCCGAAAGGGATTGGAAGATTAACAAATCTAAGAAGACTAGATGCGTGCCCTGTTGGCGGTGGTAAAGACGACGATGAAGCGTTCAAATTGGGAGATTTGAGAAACTTAGACCAACTTCAGGGGGGACTTGAAATAGATATTGATGGGGATGTGGAAGTTGCTGTGGGTGAGGGTGAGAAAGCATCACCCCTGCGGAACAAACAACTTATTGAATGTTTTATGTATATTTCATATCTGAAACCATTACAGATGCAACTTATATGGGAGAACCGAAAGCAACATAATGATGACCTCCAACATAATGATGACCTCCAACATAATGATCTCCAATCCCACTAATCTTAATCTATTATCTACTTTTAATAATGACACATCCAATACCATTACAGATGCAACATATATGGGAGAACCGAAAGCAACATAATGATGACCTCCAACATAATGATCTCCAATCCCACTAATCTTAATCTATTATCTACTTTTAATAATGACACATCCAATACTCCCCCTCAAGCTGGATCCAAAAGGTTGATAGATCCAAGCTTGCCAAGAAGAAGCTGAAACTGATGAGAGGCCAATGATTTTGTGAATAGGTCCGCAAGTTGATCCGAGCTCCTTACAAAATGCGTTTGGATAACCTGAGATTGAACTTGTGTACGAACATAGTGACAATCGACTTCAATGTGCTTGGTTCTCTCATGAAAAACTGGGTTGGAAGCAATGTGCATTGCAGCCTGATTGTCACAGAAAAGGGACATGGATTGATGATTGAAAACACCTAAGTCACACAGTAAACCTTTGAGCCAGATTAGTTCACACGCAGTAGATGCCATTGCCCGATATTCTGCCTCAGCACTGGATCTTGCAACGACAGTTTGTTTTTTGCTTTTCCATGAGACAAGGTTGCCTCCCACAAACATGCAAAATCCTGTTGTAGACTTACGATCAATGGAATTGCCAGCCCAATCTGCATCACAATAACCTGTAATCTGAGTGCTTGCATTTTTCTTCATGATTATACCACGTCCCACAGAACCTTTTAGATACCGAAGTATCCTTTTGACTAGGTTAAAGTGCTCCATCGTGGGAGAGTGCATAAATTGGCTAACAATACTGACAGCATAGGTAATGTCGGGCCTTGTGATGGTCAGGTATATCAACTTACCAACCAACCGCTGATAATAACTTATGTTTGGAAGAGATTGACCCTCTAAGCTGACCTTAAGTTTAATGTCAAGAGGTGTAGGGACCGGTTTAGCATCACTCATGTTTGCTTCCTTAAGGAGATCCAGAACATATTTGCGCTGGTTAAGGAAGAAGCCCTTGTGAGATGTAGCCATTTCGATGCCAAGGAAGTATCTCAGAACACCAAGATCTTTTATTGCAAAGCGTTGCTGAAGGGAGTGCTTGAGTTCTTTGATTTCTTCAGGGTTATCTCCGGTGATGATCAAGTCATCAACATACACAAGAACAACCAATGTACCAGCGGTGCCTGAGCGTACAAATAAAGAGGAGTCCGCATTGCTTCTTCCAAAACCAACACTGATAAGGACTAAACTGAGCTTAGCATACCAGGCTCTCGGTGATTGTTTAAGACCATAAATTGATTTGTGCAGTTTACACACAACATCCTGTTTATGACTTTGAGAGTGACCCGGTGGTAATCTCATGTAGACGTCTTCTTCAAGCTCACCATGTAAGAAGGCGTTTTTTACATCCATTTGATACATAGGCCATCCTTTGTTGACAGCCACAGACAAGAGTACGCGCACTGTGTTCATCTTTGCAACGGGGGCAAAGGTTTCCTTGTAATCCACATCAAATGTTTGAGTGAAGTCACGGGCCACTAATCGTGCCTTGTGTCTTTCAATAGACCCATCCGAGTTGAATTTAATCTTGTATATCCACCTGCAGCCTACTATCTTCTTTCCTTTGGGCAGTGGCACAATGCTCCAGGTTTTATGTTGATCGAGTGCATGCAGTTCATCCTACATTGCTTGCTGCCACACTTGGGATTGGTTAGCTTCTTGAAATGATTGAGGCTCTTCATGCGCAGATATATTACTCAAATAGGCAGTGTAATTATGTGACAACTTTTGATAAGAACAGTAGTTGGATAAGGGGTGCTTGAGCTTGTACGTAACAAAGTCTTGCAGTCTTGCTGGTGGGTGCCTCTCACGAGTTGGATTTTGTCGAGGTATGGTAGGAAGAGACTCTTCTGAAGGTTCTTCAGGACCAATACTACGTAGAGTTTCATCTTCTACAGACATGTTGCTGTCGTCATATGAATCCGGTTGATTTGGAGCCATAAGATCCATTGTGTGAGTTTGATCACCCGCATTGTTGAGTATCTCAGTCCTTGGCAGTGGAAACATGTCCAAGATAATCTCCCCCTGACTTGTACTATCCAGAGACTTACTGTAATAAGAGTTAGTTTCATGAAATTGAACATCCTTTGAAACAATTAGTCTCTTAAGTTGTGGATTATAACACTTATACCCTTTTTGTGTGGACGAGTAGCCAAGGAAAATGCATTTAGTTGCCCTAGGATCAAGTTTGTCTCGATGTAATGACTGAACATGAACAAAACAGATGCATCCAAAGACTTTAAGGTGAGACAAGTCCACCTTTCTGTTCTTGACTATCTCCATTGGGGATTTGAACCCCAAAACCCTACTAGGTAATCTGTTGATCAGGTAAGCTGCTGTCATGACGCTTTGAGACCAAAAACGTTTTGGTACATTCATTTGTAACATCAATGCCCTAGTTTTTTCAAGGAGATCTCGGTTTTTTCTCTCGGCAACACCATTTTGATGGGGTGTGCCAACACAGCTAGTTTGATGTATGATGCCATTGTTGCTCAAATATTGAGTCATGACTTGAGACATGTATTCTGTGCCATTATCAGACCTTAGGGTTTTGATTTGAGAAGAAAAATGATTTTTGACAAGGTTGTGAAAGTCCTTAAACACTTCCATCACCTCATTTTTTGATTTTAATAAATATAACCAGGTGGCTCTTGAATAATCATCAACAAAAGTTATGAAATATTTATAACCATCAAAAGATTCATTTGTTGGTCCCCATATATCAGAGTGTACAAGCTCAAAAAGATGAGAAACTCTAGACATCGAAGACCCTAGAGGTAGTCTTGTTGCCTTTGACAAATGACAAGTTTCACAGTGGGTTGATTCTTTGCCTAAGTCAGGAAATAAAGTGGATAAGATAGGTTGAGATGGATGAGCTAGTCGTTGGTGCCACAAGGTGGAAGCTTGAATGGAGGTATGGATGGACTTTGACTTGGCATGGAACCCACAGGAAGAGCTTTTTGATATGTAATAGAGACCATCAAGGTAAAACCCCTCACCAATCGTCCTCTTGGTTATACAATCCTGAAAAATGACAGTTTTTGGTGAAAAAATGGCCAAACAATTTAAGGAATTTGTGATTCTTCCCACTGAGAGAAGTTGAAATGGAAATGATGGGACATATAGGGCCACAGACTCTATTTGATCAGATATCAGGTGGATTTTTCCCTTTCCTACAATCCTTGCACCTTCACCATTAGCAACAGATACATGTGAAGGATTATGTAGTTTCTCAAATCTATGTAACTTTGACATTTGATTAGTCATATGGTCTGTGGCACCAGAATCTACAACCCAAAAATCATGTAACTCATTTATTTTAAGAGCAGTTTGGAAAGCAGTTATGATACCTTTCAAGTCTGTCTGAGGTACATAATCAGCATCAGCTAAAAAACCTGCAAATTTGCCCATCAATGCAGTAGTACTTCCATCTTCATGATCAACCGATCCATCCTCTTTTCCCTTCTTTTGTTGGAGATACGCTGCGAACTCATTTAAAAGGATGGCAGGATTTGCAGTGAACTGTTGATAGGTATCAACATTGTTGATAGATGAAGATGTTGCAGTGTTGGCACGAGGGTGTGCTCGACTTGTCTTTGGTGCGGATTTATCCTTCATGAAGTCAGGTTTGAGTTCTGGATGTAGGATCCAGCACTTGTCTCTCACATGCCCGATGTTGTCACAATGTAGGCACTTTAAATGAGAGTTTTTTCCTTTATATCTTTTTTCATTTGTCAGGTAAGCCCTAGCTTCTGTCACGTTGGTTTTTATACCATTGTTCATGACTTTTCTCCTTACTTCCTCACGTTGGATAGTTGCACAGATACTAGTGAAGGATGGTAGCTCCGAGTTCATGAGAATATGACTTCTCAAATCCTCATATTCTGAGCTCAAGCTAGACAATAATTGAAAAATTTTATCTTCTTCAGTTCTTTTAAGGAGCACAGAGAGATCAGTTGTGTGAGGTCTGTACACATCTAACTCATTCCACATGCTTCTTAAAGAACCAAGATGTTGAACAAAGCTTTTACCTTCTTGCTGTATGTTGGAGATATCCTTCTTGAGTTGAAAGATGCGAGCTGCATTGTTTTGATTTCCATACATCTCCTTCACGGTGGTCCAAAGGATGAGAGACGACTCGGAATAGCTGAAGATTTCAGCAATATTACTTTCCATAGAATTTAACAACCATGACATGACCAGTTGATCTTTACATAGCCACCCTCCATATTCTGGAGAAGAAGCATCTGGTGCAGGTTGACTGCCATTGATGAAACCGAGTTTGGATCTTCCACCGAGAGCAAGACTAACAGCCCTTGCCTATGGCAAATAATTAAACTCATTCAATAATACTGAACTGAGTCGTTAGTTTGGATTGATATCCATTTCAGAAGTGCTTCCAGATGAAGAAGCAATGATACTTCCATCTGCCATTGTTTTTTGAAAAATAAACACAGCAGATTCGATATACAGAACTGGCTCAGGATGATGCCCGCTCTGATACCATATTGAATGTTTTATGTATATTTCATATCTGAAACCATTACAGATGCAACTTATATGGGAGAACCGAAAGCAACATAATTATGACCTCCAACATAATGATCTCCAATCCCACTAATCTTAATCTATTATCTACTTTTAATAATGACACATCCAATACCATTACAGATGCAACATATATGGGAGAACCGAAAGCAACATAATGATGACCTCCAACATAATGATGACCTCCAACATAATGATCTCCAATCCCACTAATCTTAATCTATTATCTACTTTTAATAATGACACATCCAATACAACTCTTACGTTTGGGTGTAAGTTTTGTTAATTATGGAACAAGTGTAGAAATATTGAATTTCTTACGACCGCATCCAAATTTGGAATCTTTAGATATTATAAGGCATAATGGAAGCACTGCCCCTAACTGGATCATGTCATTAAACAATTTGAGATTTCTTTGCCTTGAGGAATGGAATGAATATGAAGTTTTACCTCCTTTGGGAAAATTGCCATCCCTCGAAACACTAACCCTTTGGCGTATGAATGGAGTGAAAAAGGTTGGAGTTGAGTTTCTGGGAATAGAAAAGGAAACGTCATCAGCATCATCATGCATTATATTCCCAAAATTGAAAGTACTCGAATTTTGGAACATGTATGAGTGGGAAGCGTGGAAAGGAGTGGAAGAGTGAAAGGAAGAGGATTCTCATATTACCAAAATGCCATGCCTTTCTTCTTTACAGATTGGGTACTGCCCTCAGCGAAAAAGATTGCCAGACTTCTTGCTAAAAACACCACTGCGGAAACTTTCCATCGTAGAGTGTGGCAGCCTTGCACCAGGTTACCAAAAAGGCAAAGCAAAGGAGTGGCCTAAGATTTCTCACATGCCCAACATCAGAATCATCTGATTTTGATGATGATGGTGAAGGCATAGTCGAGGCAGAGGATGTTGTTGAGTTACTTGAGAGGCCTTCCACTTCTAGTGAGAGGGTGAAGGCATAGTCGAAGCAGAGGATGTTGTTTAGTTGCATGAGAGGCCTTCCACTTCTAGTAATTAACCTCTTTTCTATTTATTTACCAACTCACTCTTCATTTTACATCAATCCAACTTGACAAGATTCCAACTAGACAAGCATAACTGCATATATAATGTTTCAAGGGACTTGTAACTCGGTTAAGACCATATTCCAGGTCCCGAGCACGATTCCTCCTCTCCCAATGTTATGATTTGCAATGCTCTAGTTTTATTTTACTTTTAAAATCTCTGGATTTTAGACTATAAGCAACTTTAAACCCAAAATTATATGCAAGAAAGTAATAGTTTATGCTCACAAAATTTTGCAGACAGGGTGTACAAAGAATGCTGCCTGAAGTAAACCGAAACCATTACATTGGAGCTGACTTTGGCCGGGTGCAAAAATCATCAAAAAGGAAGAGTGCAGAAACAGGTAATCTCGAAATTAATTGGGGTGTTTAGTTTATGCATGCATGTTTCGTTGACCTTTTGTATTTTTTGTTAATCCTACCCGCTTGACTGTTGCGAGTGCTGCTAATGGACGCAGGGCTAACACATTTTCTCTTTAGAGGAAGTGAGATGGAAAGGGAGAGAAGCCTGCATGCATTACTAGAACCGGTGGTTGGCTGCTACATTACAGATTTCAGCAGAATGGTCATTTCCTTTGCTTTCGGGGAGAATGAAGATCGTCTGGACATAGGCATATCAAAAGCGTGTGTGTGTAGTATAATGCAAAGTGATCCAGACTTGTATGAGGTCTTCAGTTGAAGTCAGAACAATATTTCTTAGAAAAGTGTTGTTGAACGACTAGAATATTATTCACTGGACCTGCAGAGTACAGTGCAAATTTTATGTAAATACTAAACAAATTAGTAAAGTTTGGCAGATTAAACGCAAACAACTGAGATATTTGAATATAAACTGTATTATGAAATAGTGCTAATCAAATACAGCTAAATTTGCCTCAATATCATCAAATATGCATAAACCCAGGGAAGGAAATAATTCAAATAGAATTGAGATAACCTTTTGCATGTTTGAACATGCGAAGAATATTATGAGTTCTAGCATCCCAAACTCGAACCATGCCATCTTCTAATCTAGAAATCAAATAATTTCCAGAAATGCCATATGCTAAGCAAGTAAAAACTTAGCTGTTCAAAAGTCAAAAGTACAAAGTTCAAGTTAAATGTGTTTTGCTCATTCAAAATTGTTGACTCTAATAATTACAAAACCTACGTGGCGCGCAGGCCGAATAACTAACAAGCTAACTACGTCCTTCGGTTGAATGTGGGGCGTGCCAACTCATCGGCCGAGGAGTAAAATTCGTTGATGTTGCGTTAAGCGCGTTGTTGACTTCTTTATCTTGCGACTGCGACCGAGGAAGGAACACTCTCGGTCTATGGGTTCTAGAGCCTGAAGACAAGGCTGCTAGTTCTGCGAAGTTCACAAATCGTCGGCGCCTGATTCGGTCACTGTGATTACGAATCACATTCGTAAGAGTATAAGCACATCGAATCGACACCAGACTATATGGACACAAGCACTCAAAGGTGATGTAGGTCTTGATGGTGAATGTAGTTCGGCCGTCAGAATGCCGAACTCTGAAACTCACTTGTGAGTATCCAATCATAAAATCACTCGGCGTCCGGCATGCCGAATAACGAACTCGTGACACCTTGCTTCGCCAAGAGAGCTAACAAGGTGACCTCTGCCAACAAGGATTCGAAAACCCTTCTCGGCCGAGACTTAGATAGGTAACCAGTCGGCCTCGACGCAGTGTTGTTTATCCAAACTGAAGGTGCGCTTCGGTCGGCTGATTCTACGGCGACAGTGCTGTTTATCCAAACTGAAGGTGTTCACCGGGTGCCTCCACAGTGCTGTTTATCCAAACTGAAGGTGTGTTGGCGGAAGAGAAAAGGAAAAAATCTCAAGATGTATGAGAGGCTTTGCGCATGGCAATTGTATGTTGAATCGAAGGTCTTCTGCATCGCATGATTTCTTGTATTTATAGCCCCCATTCCTTGAGACTGAATCGCACCCTTATTTGGACTAGGAGTCCTTGTCTCGTTCCAACTTTACTTCGAACAAACCTACCCCCACTAGGACTTTGAATTTTTCCCTCTTCCGAGGCTTCATTCTCTGCCGGCAGGGAATCCAGGTTGCACTAGGACTTCCTCGACCCTTTCTGTCCAACTGGACTACTCCTTCTTAGGATAGGACTCGACCGACCCTGTTAACCGGCCCGGAATTTATCACTCGGCCCATAGTATTTGACACAGCCTTGGGCCGAGCACAACCTTCTGCTCGGCCCAACAACATTATTTCGGGCCCAAACAAAAATATACCAAAATGAATGTTCCTTGATTCAGTTCGCCAGAATGCAAGGCCTGTCATAACTAAAGGTAGAATGCAGGGTTCTTAAAACGTGCAACAATCTTTGGCAATTATACTTTAAAAAACGAAAAATACACAGTTAAAAATTAGAGAAGTGTTAACTGAAGAAAACTCATCTGAATAACAAAGAAAATTGCAAACTGGAATATAGTCGGGAAAACAATATTTCTCAATAATCTCCGACTTCCTACGCTCCAAACCTAAGAAATGTACACCCAAATCAAAACTGTAATACACATGCAGTTTCAAGAATGCATTGCTTTTTTGTTTATTGGAGACGCATAAGAATGCATCAGTACATAATAGGGCCATAGGCAAAAGACATGTAATGGATATTGAGGAACTTATAAGAATACATGCTACGAAAAAACAAGAAGTTAAAGAAAATGATTCGGAAAAATAACCTCCCACAAGTAGATATTCCCCGACGAGCCTCCGCCAGCAATCTATGTGCCTTCGCTGTTCGCAGCAAGCGGATTGATCGGTTCTTTTGGAAAGCTCTAGACATGAACTTGCGGCTGCACATCAAAACTCCCAAAATTCAATAAAATTGCAAGAATTCCCAAAATTCAATAAAAATGCAGACTTTTATCAATTGAGGCAATTCATCAAACATGTTGTGTGCATAAGAAAGGAGGTGATCTTACCTTGGACCAAGGCCAGGACAGAGCCAGAGGAGGAAGAAGACTCGCGAAGCTGAGAGGAGGCGAGGAACCGTTCGCCTACGCAGATGAGGCCGTGAGGCGGAGAGGCGCAGAGCTTGTAGCGGAGCTGCTTGACGCCCGTGCGGAGGTCCCAACAGCCAATGTTGGCTTCGACTGACATGACAGAATTAAGATTCATTGCAGAGGTGGATGTCATCTTTATTTATTCTCACCTCTTTTTCTGTTCAAAGATGGCGCAAACTTACAATCCCTACATTATCTGATAAAAGTTAGCAATTAATTCATTTTTTAATTTTTTATTAATAATTTGATCCACGCAACATTTATGAGATTTTAATTACGACAAAATCGTAACTCAAATGAGCCAGTTCATTATTTAACAATACCACTACAAGACACATCACAATTTGCTAAGTTTAACACAATTGCAAAAAAAAATTGAAGGCTTAGGCATTGCCAAATTGGATAAATACGTGTGTTCTTCTTATACGTCTGAAAATAAGTTTTCATTTTTGTTGTTCTAATTATTTTAATGTAAAATATCACCAGCATAAGTTATATATTTAACAATAGGATGCAAAGCAATATATAAAGCAATCTTCAAGGTGATAAAATGTAATCGCCTCATAACGTATTGTATTTTTTGAAATCAGGGATGTGGAGTTCTTGGATTTGGGTTTTTGTCTTTTTTTATTTATTTTTATAAATCTTAATAAGAAAGAGGAGAAAGCGTAGGTGAATGATAGAAAGAGGGAGGAGGGGACTGTGGCCTTCAACGGGAGGAAGTGCCGTCAAATTTGGATGGGATTCATCTGGAAAAGAAAAAGAAGAAATTGTAAGAGATCAAATAGCCCTCTAACCAATTGATATGGTTCTCAATTTCTATATATTTAATTACAAGTTGTAAAATAAAACTCACATTTTATTTTTTATATAAACATACAAAAAGTCAGTATGCATTGCTCATTATCTTTTTTGTAAAAGAAGTCGTGCATGATAAAAACATATGTTTAATTTACGATCGTTACTCACTTAGCATTATAGTTTTTTTTTTTTTTAAATTTATTTCTAAGTAAAAAGTTTTAAGTTCGATTTTTGTAAATCACGAGTTAGATACGACTTGTTATAGAGTTCTCATTCCGTAACCTAGCCTAATGCCCCCTATCCCTTATTGTAAAGATATTGTTGTATTAAAAAAAAAAAAATTACGATTGTTAAAGTACAAAATTTGATTGTTTACATTCAATAATTTCCCATAAACACATAATCAACTCTTATTTTTTTAATACAAGTGAACTAGCAATATTATAATTGGAAGAAGGTATAATCACTTTAGACCAAGAAAGTAAATTTTGATTCTCACACATTTTTTTTTAGTTTTTTGCAGTCCTTTTTGTTTGTATCCATTAAATTGAACAAATTAAATATAAATAATAAATAATATTTATATAAAGATTTTTTTATTAACATCCCATATATTGATGAAGACACCTCACATTTACTTTTTAAACTAAAAATTATCTTAATACATCCCTACTTACTAACCGAAACAACCCTCACACCCACACATTTCATACACCCCACACAACCCACACCAAAATCTACCTCGAGTCTTCATCATTTCCTAAAAATAAACTTAAACCCTTTGTCTTCAGCACATAAATAGTGCGCATGGTTTTACTGCTCCAAGATTTTTGTCAATTTAGGGGAATTAAGCTCTAAATGTGAATTTGATTTTAAACTCAGAAATAGCTATTTTGCTGGCTTTTCTTAAATAAGGAATCATGAAAGGGCTATTTGATTTTGCTATTGCTGTGTCCATGTAGATTCTCGGTTCTGCAATCATGCTTGAATGAAATTGCACCACAAACCATCCTAATAAATAAATAGCAAACGTGCTTGAACATTTTTAGCAAAAGAAAAAAAAAAAGACCTCTACTACACTATCTCAAAGAAGATTTGAATATTTCAAAGTACTCCATCTCTAATGTTGCGGAATCCTTAACATTTTTTTATTAAAAAAAAAAAAACATAATCACGGCATTGTGAGTGTAGGTGTATACAAAATTATATATAATTTACAGTTGGATAGGATCTTTTTTAAGCGATTTGGGGTGTAGGGAAATAGAATGTATTCAACGATGAAATGCTAATAAAAAAATCTTTATATAATAATGCGTGAAAGATAAAAAAGCGTGAGTGTGTGAATTATTTACAAACAACAGCAACATATATGAGTATCTGGCAATTTGTCATATGACATTCGATCGGTGCCAACTGTGATATGTCTGTCAGTTTAATTAGTTTCCATTATTTCGCCTAACCTAAACTTTCTCACCCACCAAATCACAAACATTAATCCCCTAATTAAAAAATGAATTGTTAATGGCATTCAAAAAATCTTATTCTATATTTCAAACTTTTTATATTTGGAAAGAAAAATATATTTGTGAAAAAGGTAGAATGAGATTTTTGAAATGCCAATAACATTTTCCATTAAAAATTAGCATTAAAAATTTGAGGTTTTGGGTTCGAAACTTTCTGTTGGTGTAGAAGTTAGACTTGTGACTAGAAAAATGTTAAAATATATTTGTGAGTCTTATCGGCTTTCAACAAAGATGAATAATCATAATTTGCCACCAGTTATATCTTTTTAAATAATAATAATAATAATAAAAATTGGCACCCCACTTTTGTGACTTTTGTCTTTCCTCTCCACCGCAGTAAGGTATAATCTTACTCCAAGATCACCACCATAACACTAGCTCAGCTCAGCTCCTCCATTAAAGCAACTCCGAATCGAAACCAAACAATCCAAAGTCCGCTGCAATGCACGCCAAGACCGACTCCGAGGTGACCAGCCTCGCGCCGTCGTCCCCCACCAGATCCCCAGGCCGCCGCCCAGTCTACTACGTCCAGAGCCCCTCGCGCGACTCCCACGATGGAGAGAAAACCACGACGTCTTTTCAGTCCACCCCCGTCATCAGTCCCTCCGGCTCCCCTCCCCACTCCCACTCCTCCAACGGCCGCCACTCCCGCGAGTCCTCCTCCACCCGGTTCTCCGGGTCCCTCAAATCCGGATCCCGAAAGATCAACCCCAATGACGGGTCCCGCCACAACCGGAAGGGACAGAGGCCGTGGAAGGAGCAAGCCGTCATCGAAGAGGAAGGCCTTCTGGAGGGAGAAGAGGGATCCAAAGGCTTCCCACGGCGGTGCTACTTTCCAGCTTTCGTTCTCGGTTTCTTCCTCCTCTTCTCCATGTTCGCTCTGATTCTCTGGGGCGCCAGTAGGCCCATGAAGCCCAAGATCACCATGAAGGTTCGTCCGATTCGCCATTGTCGATTATCAATCTCCATTTGGAAAATTGATTATCTGGGTAGTGATTAATTCGGGTGAATTTTGTATAATTGCAGAGTGTGACGTTCGAACAGTTCAAGATTCAAGCGGGTTCGGATTCCACCGGCGTTTCCACTGATATGATCTCAGTCAATTCCACAGTGAAGTTCACATTCCGCAACACCGGCACGTTCTTCGGAATGCACGTAATGCCGAAGCCTCTAGATCTATCATACTTCCAAATCACAATCGCCTCCGGTCCAGTAAGTCCAATTTCCAATTTCAATACGTAACTTTCATAGTTTCATCCATTAAGTCATCGATTAGATCGTTAATCTCAATTGGGTTTTGCAGATTAAAAAGTTTTATCAATCGAGGAAGAGTCAAAGATCGATCAGCGTTCGGGTATTTAGCGATAAAATACCGCTGTACGGAAGCGGCGCGAGCATGAACAGCGTGACGGGGACGACGGCGCTGCCGGTGCCGCTGCAGCTGAGCTTCGTGATCCGATCCAGAGCCTACGTTTTGGGGAAGTTGGTGAAGCCGAAATTCAACCGACGGGTTGATTGTTCTGTGACTTTTGATCCCAAGAAGCTCAACGTTCCGATCAAGCTCACGAACTGCACCACTAGTTGATCGACATAGGAGGAGGAAGCACACGAAATTCGTTAAAAATTATTCTTTTTCTTTGTTTTCGTTGAAGAGGACAAGTGGTGGGACAACTCAGCGGGCAGACTCTGAGGGAGGAAAAGGAAACACGGTTTGGGACTTTTGGTCTGCCCGAGTGCCCAAGATGAATGTTGATTTTCAGGTTGTATTACTACTTACTATATTCACACATTCTCTCTCTTATTTATTTATTCATTTTTATTTTCATTTTATTGTAATTGAAAAAGTATGAAATTATTGTAATTCGTAATTTTTTTTTTCTTTTCGGTGGCTATAAGCATATGAGATCACTAATTAATTGCTTCGTAGTTTTGGTACAATATTTTATAATGAAAGAATTTAAATTGATATTAAAATATGAGGCGATAAAAAAATTTATGAAGAATCCCACTTTGAAAGAGCCTCTTTACATTTCTCCTTGTTATATATTGTATGAGAAAGTCATAAGAGGAATTCATGAATGTGAATAAAGGAAAGAATGAATGTGAATGGATAAATTAGTTCCTAGATGATTCTTGATTTTTACGATACTGAATTATGGATATTAAGGTGGTTCTTACGATTTGTTAGGGATTTGATGGAAGTGGCATCTCCTACCGCGGTGGGAGTTGTGATTTGTTAGGGATTCGATGGAAGTGGCATCTCCCTTTCAACCGCGGTGGGAGTTGTGATTTGTTGGAACTTTAATAGAGCTTGGGCCATGAGGAATATATAGGGCGTGGGCCTAGAAAACCTTGTGGGCCACGAGGAGAGTAACATTAGGCAATACATGTTGAAGTCTTCATCAAAAGTATTTTGTGATGAAGACTTTAGCATGTATTGTATATTGCATCACTTATGGAGGCAATACTTTTGATGTTTTTTGGTCTAAAATCTAACCATAGAGCCAGAACCAACCGAGCCTAGTTGTTGTGAACTTGCTCTCCTGCATATATACGAAAACAACGAAATTAAGCACGGAGGAGATAACTAAACACTAAACAGTACCGAAAAGTTATTTATATTTCTTTTAGCATTCAATATGATTTGAAAAGTTAATATATTAAAATATAAAATAATATATTAGACACATTGGTTAGAGATGTAATTTTAGTATGATGTCAAACTACCACGTAGATCATCAAGTTGAAATTTAGTGTTCAATATTTGATGTCTCATTTGGAGATTCTCTTACCCTCTCTTAATTTTTCCAACTTACAATTTTAATTTGAAAAAGCCCTTAGTATGAATGTTACATAGTATGAAAACGTTACCCTTTTATTTGATATAAACCTTATGTAAGTTTGGGCTTGAAAATTAACCCGATTCATAATATTTTTAGTAATCATGTCACTTTCAGTATTCGTATCGTGTTTTTTTTTTTCATTAAAAAGGATTAGTTACTGGATTTATTATCACTTTTTGGGAGGTTGAAAAGACTCGTAAAGATATTTCAATTTCTATTGTATGATTCACTAGCATTAGAAATTGAACTCGAACCATGTTATGTGAAATACGGACTACGAACTCGCATCATTTTTGGGCTTGGAAAATAATTACTAATTATGTTGGGTAAGAAGAGACTGTACGTGTCCAATCCTTCTCGACATGAGCCCGACCCGACCCGACCCATGAACACCTTCATTGAGTTGTAAGATCATGTCAAATGTCAACCCACATGAATTATCATTATTATTACTTAGTATTACAATCTAGTGATATTCTTTTTTATTTGTAAGTGAGAGGTTTTAGGTTCGAATCTTATTGAAGGTAAATTCAATATCAAATTAAATTTTTCATTGTGTGACTTAACCGAACTTCTCTTTCTTTTATTCGTTATCAGGCCCGATAAAATTGGACCCAAGCTATTAGAGCAAGAGTAAAATTTGTGGGATTTACCAAACAAGCCCACAAATAAGAAGCCTGATAACAAATGAGGACAAGCGGTGAAAAATAAAGATGGAATCTTCCCACGGCCAGCGAGCCAGTTGTGCCTTTCACACAAGCAATAAGCAACCTCTCTCTCTCTCTCTCTCTCTCTCCATTTCTGTCCCATCGGAGAAAGGAACTCTCTCCTTATCTCTCTAAAACTCTCTGACTCTCTTTCTCTAGAACCTCAATAGATATGGCTGTTCCCCAGCACCATTTCCAACAGCACTACCCACCCCAACAACAGCAGCAACAATCCAAGTCTTTCAGGTAATTATTTCATCAATTTCGTCTAATATTAATGACTTCTCCTTATTTATTTATTTATTTATTTTAATCTCTATTTCTTTTTCCACATTTTTGGTGTAGAAATTTGTACACAATCGACGGCCAGATGTCGCCGGCGGTGGCGTATTACGACCCCGGCAATATACACGATCACCCCCAGCAGCATCCTCCTTACGTCCCGCCCTGTAATTTCTCTTTCCTCCTCCTTTTCTTAAATTTTCTTATGCTCTGTTTGGTTGCCGAGAATCTGTAACATTGCCAAGCCATAAAGTTTGGATTTTTGAAATCCAGTGCTCCAATTTCCAGAGGGTTTTAGATAAAAATGGTCACTTTAGCGTCATTTCCGTGTTTTCGCTGCGAATTTGATCTGAATTTATCAAAATTTAATAACTTAATTGCTTAAAGTTCAAGACTTTAATTATTCCGTGACATTTTTGTCCCTTATCTTTTCCTAGATTTTCTTAGCAACCAAACAGAGCCTTGATTATTTGATCTTGAGCTTGTGGAACATTACCTGAAATAAGTGGTGTCTTCTTTTTAGTTCATGTAGTAGGATTCGCGCCCGGTCCGGTGGCTGCAACGGATGGCAGCGATAATGGCGCCGATTTGCAATGTCATTACGGGTTCGAATCCAAAAGGAAAAAGCTAAAGGAACAGAATTTCCTGGAGAACAACTCACAAATATCGTCCATTGATTTCCTGCAACCGCAATCGGTCTCCACAGGCTTGGGTTTGTCACTTGACAATACTCGAATGGCTTCTACAGGGGACTCATCGTTGCTGTCACTTATCAGTGATGACATTGATCATGAGCTACAACGACAGGATGCTGAGATTGATAGATTCCTCAAGGCCCAGGTCTTGTTTCTTGGAAAAGACCTTATCTTCTTGTTGCTTTGTTGAATGTTTTGTAGGAACTTTTTTAGATGCTTACTTAATCTGCTGATGATCAATGCTCTTACATTTTTGTATATGTTTGTATGTAGAGTGGTATTATGTCATTGTTTTGATGATCATGCCATTTTTGTTGAGTTTATGTACGGGTTTGAACTACTAATAATTTTTTTTATCGCAGATTCTTGGATTTCGTTTAGGATGATTTTCATCTATAAAATCCATGATTTGATTTTCATCTATAATAGGTTGTTGAGTTTAGTAGCAGTTCGGTTAACTGGCTAAGTAGTATTTCAACGATTCTTATACCCAAAAACTAGAAAATCAACATTTCTAGTGTAGCACAAAATTATATGAGTCTATTATCCCTTTGCCTTATTTGAAATGGTCATTGATATTTATATACAGATTGTGTCCACGTTATTTACCATTACTTAAATGCTTTGGTATGTTCGAGGCCATTATGATTAGAGAATAGAGATGGCACTGCGTGTCATTTAGTTCAGTTCAAGATGTTAACCCAAAATATTATCAACTTCCCAAATCACATGACACATAACATATAATGTTTGCATCCAATCATGATTCAATATCTATGACTAAAATACGTGCCATTTGTTACTAAATTTATGGCACATGTTTTAATAGTAAAATGCTTCATCCGGCGGACTATAATCTGATAAATTTTGATTCCTACTCTTCACAACTATGGATACAATCTAAATGTGAACTGTATTTAGTGAATTGGAGTCATTACTTAAACAATGAGAGGCCAAGCCCTAATAAAATGAACTAGATTTTGCAAACTCGGATAATGTTCTTAAGTATTCCATTTTGATGGAGGATCCTTGCGGCTTAAGGCTGTAGAAGTGGTGGTGTGAGGAAAGTGTGGTTTGTAAATTTGTGGTTAAGTCTTCTTTTGCTAGTTAGATTCCTTGGGGGACCAGACTATGATTTCCTATTTGATCCCTTTGAATTCTTCACCCTTAGTAGAAGTGTGTAGTGGTACCGGGTGGATGGTTTACATGCCCTTAGCCATTCTGGAGGAGCTGTTGAGAATTGTATTGACAATAAATGAATTACTAAGAAATTTTCTTATTCTGGCAAATTCTGTAACTTTTTTTTTTCTTTTCTCAAGAATCTCTCTGGGGTTTTCACGTTGGGCCTTCTATTTTTGGTTTGTTGGATATTTTGTGGGTCCCAATTGCTTTTTGGTGATTGCTTTTATGTCAACGTGTTTACTTACTAGCAAGAAACAACCATTCGATAGATTCTTGAACTGATCAAACTAACTCTAATTTCTTAATTTGTAGGGTGACCGACTGCGGCAAACTATCATGGACAAGGTCCTAGCCACACAACTTCAGACCCTCTCGGCTGTGGAAGACAAAGTTCATCGGAAGCTGCAAGAGAAAGAAGCAGAAGTGGAGAGCATTAACGAGAAGAATATGGAGCTTGAAGAGCAAATGGAACAGTTGACTGTTGAAGCAGGTGCTTGGCAACAGCTAGCCAGGCGCAATGAAAACATGATCTCAGCTCTAAGGTTTAATCTTCAGCATGTATATGCTCAAAGTAGAGATAGTAAAGAAGGATGCGGTGACAGTGAGGTAGATGATACAGCTTCTTGCTGCAATGGCCGTTCGATCAATTTGGAAATGTTTTGCAAGGAGAATAATGATGGGAAAGAGATGATGACTTGCAAGGCCTGCCGAGTCAATGAAGTGTGCATGCTTCTATTACCTTGCAAGCATCTTTGCCTGTGTAAAGATTGTGAAACTAAGCTCAGCATCTGCCCTCTCTGTCAGTCCTCTAAGTTTATCGGCATGGAGGTATATTTGTAATGTGTTAAATTAGAAAGTTCTTATCTTTTAATTCAAAGCCATACATCATATAAATATCATCAAAGTCATATGCATTGTTGTTCTTATCTTTTATGTCAAAGCTATACATCATAGAAATATTATCGAAGTCGTATGCATTGTTACCCTATGAGACAGGCATTATGTGGGCATCCGAAAATAGGGATAAAGAGTAGAGAGTTTCATAGACATTAGCCATTTTTTGACATAAGTAGCATTATTCTTTAGATTCTTAAATGGGAAGTGATTTTAACACTCCCGTTGATTCTCATGTGATTTATTTCAATCCAAATGAGAAACAAAGGGAGGAGT